TTTCAAGCTTTGTGAAGCGCTTCATACTCTGATGAGCACGATGCTTCCGGCTCCTTTTCCATGCCCGCAGTTTTTCGATTGCTTCTTCATCCTTATACACGATGGCCATATCCTCCAGCTCCATATCCGACATCCCACCCTTCTCGACCCATCGGAGGACGGACGCGTTGAAGTATTGACAGAAGAGATATTGTTGCTCTCCCTTCTGGACAGGTACAAATCCGTAAGCTCGGGTACCACTGGGTATGACGAAGGTGCTTCCGCATTTTAGGGGAATAAGCCGTTGGTCGTCGTGAAGAATAAGATGTCCCCCCAGTTCCGAGTTCCAGTCACCGTATACGGTGCAAACACTCGGCTCCCCAGGACGAATGAACCAGTCCTTGGTAGCCCTGTCTGAGCCATCTCCAACCAACCGAAGCTCGCATGTCGGAAGGACCGTAGAATTGAACGGGAATTGTAGCTCGTATTGCTTTTGATAAACCACAAGGTCATCGAACGCACTCCGAAGAACGGCATAGATATCTGGAAAGTATTGCGCAAGGATATCTAAGAGACAAGGATGAGTGTCCCTCCGGATATGAACGTTGAGGGCAAGCCACACTTACCATTCTGATAAGCGGAGGCTAGCTTCAGAGTGTCGTGGTTTGTGATATCGCAGACCCTTGTCGTCAATAATGGGCTGGGTTCTATGGTGACCGGATGCTGGTAATAAAGTCAGTTGTGATCCGGAAAACGGCAAAAAATGAAAAGCTGCATACGGGAAAGAGTTCGGCTGATCCTTCCAAACAGGCAAAGCCAATACCCCAGCGTAAAGTTCCGTTGGCCCAAGCAGAACAACGAGCAAGCAGATTCAGGACGCGTGAAAATTGACCCGAGGTAGCTTCCCACTCCTCAGCAAGGCAATTTGGCCCTTGGGTGATAAGCGCAATGACAAATCCCTTGTCGTCAAGGAGTGGGGTAGGACGGGAGCTGGAAGTTCATAAGGAAACAGAAAGAAGGCAAATCACCACTGACTCGTCGATTTCGGCTCTGCAACACTGATACAGATATTCCATAATGGGCAGAATGTTTCTTGGAGGAGAAGAAAGAGGTGGTCGGCGAGCTCGGCGAACGAGTGTCGAACTAGGGATGCTTACTGAGGCATTAGAGGTCCCAGACCCCGACGCCTCAGCTTGCAGAACACTCCCACCAGTTGATATGGACACGTTTGCTGAGCCACCTTCACTTGTCGCAAGAGCAGTTGTCGACACCATTGTCCGGGGACCAGAACGACGGGGACTTGCGTAGGTTTTTTGTGTGATATGAGATAAAGGGGTTGCTGTGGAAGACCGCCACTCAGGTGTGTCGAGAGGCTGAGTGTAAGATGGGACTGGGCTACTCTGAGCCGTGTCTTCGATATCGGAGTCCTCGTCCTCTTGGGAAAGAGCTTGGATGATATTATCTTCATTCGAAGGAGTCAGCGGATTATAATTCGAGGGAGGTTTGACCTTGAATCTGGTTATTTCTGCAATAAATGGCAAGAAAAGACGGACTGTAGCTCGAAAATAGTCGTCGTAATCTTCCAAGTACTTGTAGATTCGGTGTTGGCGACGAAGCCCATCGGCGAATAAACTCGCCGAGTCTTCGGGATAGATTGGAGGAGCAGGAAGATCGCGTTTAAAAGCGAAGTCTGTTTGAGAACGAGTGAAGTAGCGTTTCCGGGCGGATTGTGTTATCGAAAGAGGCCATTTAGGCAGTTATGCTGACAAGAGGAAAATAAGGTGGCGATGTTTTGGGTTTGGATTTATCGATATATAGGCGTCTTGCTTTAGATGCTTAAGTCTTGACTTTTGTACTCGAGCCTTGAGTACAAACTCAAGCGACACGACAGTGACCATGTGCACGTGGTGTGATGCTTCTGCCGTTTTTGGTCTTCGAAACCTACATATATAGCCAAATCTTGGGAGTCAGGGATGAGGTGTGTGCATGATCCATCTTTTGTCCTTTGCGCTACTCTCTCATACATATCGGTAGTGAGCTCCGAATGTCCTTCTTCACCTCCAAAGTCGCCCGCCCTCTCCTCCGACTCTGGCAAGTCTCTCCATTTGAATCAAACAGTGCTGACGACTTTTTTAAAGACTCTTCTGGCTGGGGTAGTCGTCGAGGTTGTTAAGTTGTCGCTGCTGTCATGCATTCTTGCGCTGCTGACCGCGCCTAGAAGAGACCTTGGTCGCCGTCAATGCCGTCTTGTCCGGGTTGAATCCGCGCTCGGGTGGACCGCGGTTGTTGTTGGAGTCGGCGTTGGTCTGTATTTAAATTGCGGGCCGAGTTCGTCATTGCAGTCAGTTTTGGGGATAATTGAGTATGTTGGTCCGCTATGACTTGCCTAAAACTCACCTGTTTCTGCAAGCTACCGCAAGACTCGCATCGTCTCCGGCTTGAATCGGCACATAAGAAGCGGGATTGTTGTTGTCGTAGCTGTAGACTTAGTTGAAGACGGCACTGAGTGGCCGAGTGAGTTTGAGATGGTGCCTGAGTGCTTGCCGGCTTGCCAGATATAGCCTGGGCGTCAAGGAGGAAGTCAATCGAGATTGGTCACACAAAATTCGTGACTTGTCGACAATCTTTCCTTGGGCTTACGACACACAGTCCGTCTTTCGGCTATGCACTCACACCTGCTTGCTTACGCTCCTGCAGCCCAGCACTCGCCTCATCGCACGCGAATCGGGCTGAGAGGTGTGGATTTCAAGTCATACCCTCTCTGTTTTGTTGACTCAATTCTTCTGCAGCGTTCTTCAACTTCGAACTGGGCAACGCTGTCGATGGGCACGGGTGGGAATGGGACTGTGGAGCAACGAGTGGCGGTTTTCTTTTCGGTTCCAGGTACGTGGCCAAAACATATTGACAACGACGGAGTGTGCTTACCCTTCTTCCAGCATCCTTCACCACCACCACGTTCCAATTAGAGGGGGTGACGGCTGGTTGGGGACTCATAGTCGCTGCTGTCATAAGGTGTGCGTTGCTCGTTCATGCTATCCATGACATTTTTGAAAGCTCAACGCAGTCTTGCTCCGATTAGGCAGCACACACGAGCCTTTACTGAACGAACCCGCCCTCCCCCATAGGCCTCGAAATCCTTCTGCCAAGCCAACAAGGTCAGTCTCTGCCTTGATTATGTTGCAATTCTGGCTCATTTCTCGCGGCAGACACCCCCAAATGGATGGTGAATTTGCTTGCATTGCTACGCTTACGTAAGCACTTTCTGCGACACTTTTTTTGCGTTTTAAACGTCACTTTTTTTGCAGGATTTTGCCGCCGGGCGTGAATAACGCCCTGGACTGAAGGTCACGCACTCGTGGCAACATACCGCGTCCTCTGGAGGCTGTTGTGGTTTGCGGACGCGACCCATGCGCCCGTTAGGCGCCTCACATTCTTTCTTTTCGCGCCAAGGTCGGTCTCCGGCTTGGACCTGTCCATTTTCTGGCTCATTTTGCGCGGCAGACACGCCCAAATGGGTGAAAACAACGCTAAATTTGTTTGGATAGCTACCCATTACGTAAGCATTTTCTGCTTCATTTTTAAGACTCAATTTTTGGCAGGATTTTGCCGCCGGAGACGAAGAAGCCGGCCTGGACTTGAACTTCACGAGCTCCCGGCAACGACTCTCTTCCTCTGGCGGCCTCCATTGATTGCGACCATGAGCAATGCGCCGTAAGGCGCATCGAAAACATGGCGGAAGTGAGTGAGCTATTCACTATCTGAGTCTGTCATCTAAAGAGCTTTGACAGATATGGAGCGCGAGCCACTGCAAGGCAATATTGCCGACATCGTCGGGGAGCGCAAAGGGTGCGCCCGTCAGGCGCCCAGAATCAATATGGCTGCCACCAACTCCGTTCGTTAACGCCATCTCTCGTCGTTGACTGTGAGCCGACCAGCGTCCATCAGGCATTTCGTCCGCGCCATCCCCGCTTCACCCAACGAACCAGCACATGTGAGTCTGGAGCTTGTCACTACTTGCTGTGGATGCTGACTGTGTTTGCTAGTCTGCAGCGACTCGATTCGGGGCAATTGCTCAAAATATCGCGAAGGTGAGTTTCCGGGACATGATGTCTTGTTATGCAATTCCACCAACTTTACAGTTGTGAACTTTAGACTATTGCGTTGAGTTTGCGCGTTTTAGCGCGGAATGGTCGGCGCCACTGTCCAAGGTAAGTTTTCCGTTCCTGACTTGATGCTGCATTTGTTTACCTTGCGTCAGACCTATTTGCGGACGAACTGTCTTACTGTGCAGCGCGCCACGCCTGCGAGTCGAGGAGAACAACGACGCGTAAGTCGCTTTTGATGTTTGCGAGTACTATACCTGATTGACCTGCAGTTGTTCCTGTATCACCTTCTTGTTGGGCGACGACGTTGACGCGGGAACGCGAGGCGCACAAGCAGGCGTCGGAGTTAGAGCTGTGTCTGGATGCTGTTTTCTCGAAAGTGAGTTTTCAGGCAATCGTGTCTCGTTATTCATGCTAACTACTTTACAGTTTTGTCACGGTGGTGAAGGATATTTGACGAGAATGTAGTAGGTCTTAAATTGCATCAGCCAAGTGAAATATCCTCCAGAAGGGAAATCACGCCGACTTTAGCATTAAGTTCCCGACATCGTCGGTAGCCATGCTGCAGTGGCCGGCCGAGTGTTGCCCAAAGCTGCCACTCAAGATTCAGTTCAGACACGAAGCAAAACTGGACATGAACACGTCTGTCGTTGGAAATGTGAGGAGTACAAGAGTTTGCAATAAGATATGATATGCTATGTGTGAGTTACTGACAAGGGGGAATTGGAGATCCAGCGGCTGAAGAGGTCAAGCGCAGCCTCGGGCTGGTCCAACGGAACCATATGTCTTGGGAATGATTAGGTTTACACTTGAAAAGAATCGAGACATACCCGGCATCAAACACAGTAACGAAAGTAACATTTCCGGCCGTACCGCCGGCCGACCGGACCGAGCCCGCAAGCTGGCCCGTGGAGTGGGTTATCCATGGTACAGGTTGCACATCATGTGCGCGTTGCCTGCATATATGAGCAGCCTGACGCCACCGTTGACGAGGTCCGTCAGGAGCTCCGCGCTGTTGTGTCCGCCGTCGCCCTGGAAAAGGAAGGCTTGGTTGATTTCCATGTTGCACGAGGCAAAGTTGCGGCTCGGGTCGACGCCAAGCGCGACTTTGTTGGCTGGCTCGTTCATCCATGATTCAATCCAGTTGACCTCCCGGTAACAGAGGTCGCCGTCCTTGGGAGCGGTCGCATTTCTTGCGTACGTCATAGACGTTGACACCCGTTTGCATGATCGGGCCATACAACTGGGAGTTGCAGTAAAGCATCGCAGGAACACAGGTAAATTTTTGTTATACTTCAAGTTGTAGCACGACTGGAGCATCCGTTGGCAAGTTGGAACTTTGCTTCGTAGTCTGTAGAGCTGTGCACTGGGGTCCTTCAGGGTCGTCATAGACGGGGAAAGGCCCGGAACAGGCATACTCAGCCACAGTGCCCATCTGAGTATAAGGATCGGTTTGTCCATTGCCAATGAGCAGAGATTCGAGATTGATCTTCTTGAGACTTGGGTTCGGGGCTGCTGTAAGTTGTTGGCTTGCCAGATAACGCTAGCAATGATGATATTGGGAATCTGGAATCAATGTTAATAATACCTTCAGAAAAAGACGAAAGACTTGCGTAAGTTCAACCTGCATAGCTCTCGCCACTGATATGAAAGGGTTGCTTGGAGTACTCGGGGAATCGCTGGAGGAAGAGCTCAAGGAATGCATAGACATCCTTGCCGGCAAGAGGGCTGTTGTTGACAGTCGTGCCGTCCTCAGCATACGAGAACCCGACGTTGACAGGCTGGTCGAGGAACTGAATGTGTTGTCAAACAGCCAGAAGAGGCTGCATTTGGAACTCACAATCATGTTGGCGTTGGAATTCCAGCTGTGAGGGTTGAAAGTCGTGTTCTTGCCGTCGTCAGCAATAGAGCATGGGCCCAGTTCAAACAGCAAGCCAGTCGAGCTGGAGCAGCCGGGTCCGCCATTGAGCCAGAGAACGAGAGGATCCGTAGAGGGAGAGTTGCGTGACTCGAAAAACCAGAAGAACAAATGCTTGTCTTCAGCGCGCCGATATCGAGGTAGGCTCATGATCAGGTAGCCGGATATTTGGTTCACACTGGGGTCGCACAGAGCGGTTGGCTTTGTGACCCTCAATTGGTGCTCCTCGAACACGGGGTGCGAAACAAGCTCGTCTGCAAGGGCGAATTCAAGTTCCGTATCGTGGAGATAAGAGAGGACTATGCACATAAGAGCTCGTTCTGCTTGAAATACTTACTCTCTGCCGTCGTGAATCCACTTCTGTAGGTTCTTCTTGCCGCGGAGAATGGCCTTGGTAGCGTCGTTGAGCAGTGTGCTGACTGTGTTATTGGATGATAAACGGGCGCGGTAGAGGCCCAGAACAACCTGCTCTCCAGTTGGAGACGCTGAAGAGAGCGAAAGGGAGAGAGGGAGTGGGAGGACCCTCATGGTTAGAGGTTGCGATCACTCGACAATGTGATTCGGAGGCGCGTCATACGAAGTACAATTAATTTTTGTACAATCCAGCATTGAGTCCAGGGGAGACTATTCGGCACAGTGTCGAGTAAGCGATCAACGGCGAACAAACTCGGCGTCTCAGCCTCGTGGAGACAGCCTGTGGAATTCGCGTAGCTCTTGTATATACATCCCCGCCGGATCTCCTCCTCCCCGCGCCGCATCCGCACACGCTCCTGTTCCTCGGCCGCAGGCTCCCACTGGACTCCACGGCTCCCGGCACCCAGACGCGGTCACGTGACGCTAAATCTCACAGATTCGCACTTAGCGTTCCCTTCTTAGATTCTTATTTTGCCGCTGAAAATGGTCAGTGTCTGGTTCAGGGCTTAAACGCTAATTAAGGGATTCCAACGCGTGTCCTGGGTAGCCATTCCCATTCTGCAGTTATTGCAGTGTCCGTGTGTGGTTCCCCCTTCACAGCAAAGGTAACAAAAAACAAAAGACGGAGGTGAAGACCCCACGGGATGTACAGTCCAGCGCCGCTTCCGAGACTTGGGCGTGAAAAAGCTGGAGGATGCACTGGAGCGCTCGTCGACTCGGCGGACTTGGCCACAATCCGTATAGCCTTCAAAGACCCATGTCCGAGTTGGGCTTGGCCATTTCAAGAATGTCGAAGACGTGCGGCAATATGAAGGTGGTTGGCGGGCAAAAGCGCGTTGGGGTGCGACCGTGATGTCGAGTAACGAGGGGAGGGGATGGCAGGGAACAGCTTGCGGCGCTTCTGGAAAGGTATCAGCAAGAGCACAATCATAATATAAACTCGAGTCTTACTTCAATTCAAGTGGGCATCACGCAGCTGGACTTGGTCGCCGCCCGCCTTTGACGCCGAGATGCAGATTGGGACGGGAACGTTGGCCGCGGCGAGAGACAGGACGAATGAGGGTGGGCATCGGGGAATGTGTTTACCACCACAGCTTGACCGCCGAGTGGGTTGACGCAGATGGTGGTGGTGTCCTCGGAAATGTGGAGATGATGGCGCCCGGTGCAATGCGAGCGAAACTTGAGCTCGGGTTGGTGGAGATAGCCGACAATACAACGGCGGTGAATGTCACGCCAGGATGGCTGAGGCGCTTTGATGTGGGATGATGGGCGGGCAAGCGTTGTGCGCAACTGATTGCGATGTCAACGTGAGGCTAACTCGAAGTTGGCCATAATGGCGACGTTGTGCTTTGGTCGAAGACGCGGGGAGTAATCGCGCCGAGAGATGATAGCGGCACGCGTATCAGGTGGGAAGACGAGGTCGAGGGGAGGAGGAAATGGCGGCGGCAAAAAGGTGGGGCCGTGACAGATAGTCGGGGGTGACAAATTGCCATCACGCGCTCGTCGTCAGCATCGGCATGGGTGCAGAGCTTCACGTTGAGCGTGGGACGGTTGGCGCAAGCGGGCAACGGCAGCCAGGGCCTGGTGACAGTGCATTTGCCTAGCCCAAGATGGCGGGGTGAAAGAATATGTCGGGTCGGGGGGAGTGAAGACCATGGTGCGTGAACGAGAGCATGTAAATGTCTCCAACGAGAGCGTCCCCGAGCTCGGCGCCACACAGACGCGTTGACTGGCCGAATCTAATCATGCAGGGCGACGAGCGAGCGAGCGCGTCGTTAACTGAGAGCGCCAAGACCTGAGTGACTGCGGCGAGCAGAAACGCGGGGGGAAGACTCGGACTCGGACTGTGAACGCGCAGCCATTGTCTAAAACAGCTGGTGAGCGCTCGGAAAAGCCTGGACAGCATGCTAGCGTGGTTGTCCGCTAGCATGGAGATGGAGGCAAGAGGTAGTCTAATGATATGTCTCGTGAGTCGTGGTTGCTTGAGCCAGTGTTACGCGTTCCATGACTGGACGGCACCCAGCGCTGCAAAGATTATCAGTACAAGTCGCTGTCGACACAGAGTGAAAAACGAGCTCACAAGGTTAGGAACTGGTCTACAAGCGCGTCAAGACAGTCGCGAGCGGCACCAGGACTTGCCCAACTGGCGCTACAAGGATGATTAGAAAAGGCCCTGAGAGCAGAAACGAACTCACAGTAGGGTGAACAATTGCAAGGATTGGGGAAAATTTGTACTCAGACGACGGATATATATAGCCGCGGCGTCGATGTGGTGGTTGTTGGAGGCAGTTTTCAGTTGGGATGCTTGTCGAGCCGCCGCATCAATTTGCCAAGGAAATATCCCTACAGCATCATCGGTCAGACAGCGGAGATAGACTGGACTGGTGACTCAACCGCTGGGACGTCATAGGTTGCAGCGGGCGGGAGGAGCCAGCGATCCCAGTCCGGGAGATGCGCCGGGAAGAGGCTTGGTGGGGCTGTTGCCGTCCGTGAGAGGCTCAGAAGATGGACTGTCGCGGTTGACATGGAGCGGGATATGTTTCGCGCGTTGAAAAGGGTGCGACCATGTTGCGAGCGATTGTAATTTCAGGCGACCCGGTCAACGCCAACGACGTCAAGTGAACCGAAAGAGTTGTCAGAGCGTGGTATATTGTCGGCTGCTTACGTGATTGGCTACAACGTCTCCAATCATGTAATCCGCCGTCGTCGATACTTGAAATTTTTGGACAGATAGCCGGCCGCGGAAATGAGCTGGTCCTTAGGCCTTAGGCTGAACCGCTGTATGCAGCTGGCTCCAGTCTTATGGATCTTGAAGGTTCAGGTCAAGTTTAGGTATCGGCGTCACGAGGCGTGTCACGGCCATGTCACACGCCGACATTCTTTTCCCAAACTTCAAGCACTCTTGCATCCACCACACCGGAGTTCTCAAACGCATACGTTGAGCCTCTGACAGCAAACGATCCGTACCGCCCACCTCTCAACGTCCGTTCACCTTGTTGTCGGCTGGCCTGCGCTAACGAACATCCAGACTTCAACTCCAACAGAATAGCGACCAAGAACTCTGCAGACCTAGACGCATACGTCAGGCTGCTGCTTCATCAAGCTCACAGGTTGTTTGCCGCACTGCTTCACCGATCTCACGGGGTGTTTACCGCCAACGCCTCCGACCGTCGAAATCATGGCTCCGTCATTACGGCTCGTCCCGCTCAGCTCACTAGACGAACGTGAGCGACAACAAGTGAGTATCCGACAACCTGCTATCTCCCAGATTGTCTCACCAGTGCATCTAGGCAAGCTACCACGAATCCAGTGCTTTCACCGATCTCTGCCCTTGTTGATCCCGGTGGCGGTCAACGCCAGGGAGAAACCATTGTAGACTTCCTCGCCGGTCGTCAACGTGCCAACGAGCGCACAGAGGCACGCGAAAGCCCAAACCCGCCTCCAACGACTGCGGGCGGTGGACTGCCAGGTAGAGGGTCTTTATCTCAGGCTGGGAAGATACAGATCTTCATTCGCCGCCCAATGAACCGCGATTTTGCAATCGACTCGCAAGGGATCTTTGCCCCCACCTTGCCTTCAAGCGCACGCAAGACGCATGTGAGGCGGGTGTTGATTAGCCGTAGTGGTGTGGCAAGACTGGAACGGAAGGAGAAATTTGATGGGATAGCACGGATCGTCGCCGAGGATTGTCCGAGTACGTGTCGGGCCCACTGGCGACGCGACGTTGAGCTCAAATTCGGGGCTGGCAGCAATCTGAGGCAATGGATAGGTAGATATATGCTGCCCGCTATATGCTGCTCAGCCTTCACAGCAAAAGGAAAACAGAGCATATCAGCCAGCCTTTCTGTATATTGGCATACTCGAGTTTTAGCACCGGTTCTTGAGTCCTACAAGCAGCCATTGAGCCCGCATAGTAGGAAAGTGTGGTTTGAGGTTTGAATGGCAAGTTAAAATGTGAAGAACGGAAGGCCCAAAAATTTGGCTGTGACCAGTTGCTTACGTGATTGGCTACAACGCCTCCAATTATGTAATCCACCCGATACTTGAAATTAAATTCTTGGACAGATAGCCGGCCGTCAAATTCACAACTACGCTGTGGAGGGCCCTTCCGGTCTTGCCACCGCTGTGCAGCGTCGTACACTGCTCAGCGCTGCTCATCCTCAAGCCTCAATGCTCTTCTCCAGCCTGAATAGCAAGTTTCGGCGATTCCCCAAAAACACACCACTCCTTGATTGTAAGTGCTCATGTTATCAGTAGAGCAAGGGTAACGATGACTGACCCGACTTGAGCATTTCAGTGGCTGCAAGTTTAAAATTTTCCAAATTTAATATGCTGGTGCTGGTTCGTACGCCTACGGGCCGTAGGTTCGTACCTCTCTTAATTTCACTTGAGTCAGTGCTAAAAATCTACGGAACAACGCGTAGATAGGACGGGACAGAAAAAATACATGCTAAAATGGTGAATATATGGTGCTTAAACCACAATTGCGGCACGGGCCCATGCCGCTGCTCGGCATGCTGGTGTTTTAAGCGGCAAATGGCGCGGGTTCACCATCCGATGGTCGCCGGTCATGTGCCGTCACCTGCGTATGATCGGCGCCGATCGCCGATCAATGTCGTTAGGGTGACGGCTGAGGTGACGGCTGACCCTTGCCGCCAGCCAAACGCCCCTACCCACCCAACCTTTGCTTGCGCCGCCCGTTTGCCCGACGCACGCGGTCCACGCCCGCCGCGCCCTCTCTCACGCCCGCCGCCTCTCTCGCGCCCGCCCGTGCCCTCTACCGCCATCTCTGGTCCATCTCTGGCCCATCTCTGGCCCATCCAGCGCCTTCTTGCCCATATTCGGCCCATCCAGCGCCCTCTTTCCCTCTCCCACCCATATCTGGCCCATCCACA